TAGTGGGTGATGATAAATTGTTTTTTTGTAGTGTGAGATAAAGGTTTTTTGTATGTGATGAAAAAGTGTTGTTGTAGTGTGATGTACAAGTGTTTTATGTAGTGTGATGATGATGATACAAGAACACAACTATCGGGGTCTGGGCACCTGAGTCATTCCCCATATTGTTGATTGTTTTGTCCTCAGACCACTCACATTTTAAAAATAATAATCTAACGTTCACCACACACACACCACACACACCACACAAACACCCACACCACCATTTATAAAAAATATATATATTAATATATTATAATTTATATTTTAAATTATTATATTATGTACTTTTCCAACAGCACACGTATCAGTTGATCTAGTAATAAATCGCTGTTGTAAAACTCACCCTGAGTAGTTCTCTATGACGTTAAGCCCACGGATGTTTATATTGTGGGGGAGAAAGTTACGAAACCTCCCCTCCCTCTTTTCCCTCTCTCCTCTCTCTCTCTTTTTCTCTCTCTCCTCTCTCTCTATTCTTTCTCCTCTCCCCCACACACACACCAAAACCCTCTTTAATAAAAAATATTTTATATATATAATATATTTATATATATATATATATATTATATTTATATTAATTATATGTAGGGGTGGGACCAGGAGGGGAAAATCGACCCCTGCAACCTTAACTAGGTAGAAACCCAACAGAAAATACCTGTGACGAGGGGGGCCCCACAGAGGTGGGTCCTGGACCAGTGCTTTTTTGGGGTATTGTAAATGCTGATGGAATTTTTTAACTCAGAAGGTCCCTGTTCGCAGATGAGAAAAGTTATGGGAAAATTAAATCAGATGAGGATCGGGCAGGACTTCAAAGAGACCTGGACAGACTGGACCCTTCCAGCAATGTTTCTCGAGTTTAACGCCGCGAAAGAAAAAGTCATGAAGATCGGGGGAAGGGCCAGAAGACCGCAGACGGGAGTTTTCTAGGGGGCAAAACTGCAAAAACCCCCTCAGGAAAAGATCTTTGGGGGGTTAACACCGGATGTCTCCGGAAGCACACATCAATTTAATAACACTGCGCATATGGGTGCCTGGAAACCTGAGAACAGCGTTTCCCATAACCCTTTGTAAGGAATCGTTCAAGAACCGTATATCAGGCCCACTGGGTATGCAGCACCTGTTTGGAAAACCCCCACTTTATCAGACGTCAAGAAATTAGAGAAAAATGCAAAGGTTTGCGACAAGGGTTTGTTCCAGAGCTAAGGGGAATGTCAGAAAAAAGGTTAAGGGGAAAACGCCGAGACACGGAGGAGGGGGTCAGGGGGGACAAAGGGGTAACGACATATAAAATATTGTGCGGAAAGACAAGGGGACAAAGACGGGTGTTCCCCGGGGGGGGGACACGAAACAAAGGGGCACAATGGAATTTTAAAATCAGATGAGTCAAAGGGAATTTAGGAAGCATTTCTTCGTCATAGAGTAGCAGGGGCCGTGGAATAGCCTGAAAGTACGTAGTGGGGCGGGAACCTTCATGTTTTAAGACGAG